TTTTCACTATCAATTCCCTCTTTACATCTCTAATTTACAAAATAGTTCTGTTTGTAGTCTGTAATTTGCTTCAGAAGGCTGGGACAAAAATAGCCAAACTTTTTGAGTAAAAACTGAAAATTGTCTAAAATTTTGTCTGTTGGATCCAAAATTAGTGTTCGTTTCCAGAAATATTGAAGAATATAAGAAAAAAGTACAGAAACATTTAGCTGAGAAAGTCTGGTGGTGAAGAGGTTAACAATTCAGTCATAAAACTGTAACCCATCTTGGATTCTAAAATTTACTAATTCTTGTTTTGTGTTTCAGAGGGTTTTCTAAAACTGTTCAGAGGTGCTGAAGTGGCTACTTTCAGGGCTATACTTATGACCATTGGACAGGTATATTATGATGTTACTTTATTAATAGATGAATAATAAAACTAATAAGTTTTTCAATATACAGTTGTTGCTCTATTAGTAGCCCAAATGCTTACTTGAATTACAGAATTGTTTTATTTCAATTTTGGCAAAATAAGTAATGTTCAGAATACAATAAATGTGAAATTTGGTTTATGTGTACTAATTTTGAAGATGTGCTTCTAATAGAGCAAATACTGTATCAGTATCACATATGTTGTTAATCTGATTGATTATTATATATATTTTTATCATATATTTCTGTAGATAAATATCTACATGTGAAATATATGGCATTTTCTTTTACTGCATAGTGTCAGATAAATCTTGGGAAAAAAAAACAACAACAATAGCTACAGGTACGGTTACACTAGCATATTCTCATATGTCATTCAATGTCACAGGTCATTTGATCTTGTTGACCCCGTCAGAACCTAGGGGCTGGCTTTGACTTTGATCAGAAGAGACTACAAGTGTGTAACCTTGAATGACAATGTGTGAAAATTGCCCAGCTCAAATGATGACCTTTTGTAGTGAAATTGATTCATGCTTGACCAAATCCTCATTTTAAGCTTAATTGGAACTCTGTGAAAGCAAACTTTTGTCAGTTGTAAAAAAGCACAAAAAAACCAGAGCATTAAGTAGTCGATATTTTGGGTGGTAATTTGGGGAATCCAGTAGTGTAAAACATGCACATTGCTGACTCGCATGTTATTTCTGACACAAGATGTTTTTATCATTTTTAACTACTTCGGGAGAATTATACTCAATTTTAACATATAGTATCTGAAACAAATTAAATATATAAATTTGCATCTAAATTGTGGAGATATCTGATGTAATTTATAGAAAAATTCTAGCACCATGAATTTATCAATATTGCATTAACTAGTGCATTCTAAACATTACGTATGTGAGTGTATCAATAAATATCTCCATATACTTCTATTTCAGATTGCATTTTATGACCAAACAAAACAGCTGCTTGTCTCAAACGGGGTTCTCAATGACAACATGGTTGGACATTTTACCTGCAGTACAATTGCGGTGAGTCTTAAAATATTTCATAATGTTTAAAAACTTTAACCATAACAAAGCACAGACTGTATATATTTTTTTTAAAAACTGACCAAAGAATTTTTATTTCCTCAGTATTGTTCAAACTGGACAGGGGATAATACAAACATACACACAGCAAATATAATCTCCTTGTTAAACATTTACTACGTTCACGTTACTGGATCTCGACACGTGCCGAAATTTTTAATCCGTTGTGTTTGCAGAGGGATTACAGCAGTTGCGTTCACCTTATTCGGGACCCACTTAGGACTGACTCGGCTCGTGCCGAAATCACACCCTCATTCGTTGATCTGTTGGCCCAAACGATACGCATATGATGATAATAATAATTGTTATACTTAAATTATATCCATTTGTTGCTATGGTGTTTATTATGAGCCATCGTGCATATGAACAGCAAAGAATATTCGAAACACAATTATTTTTTTCACATCAATGTAGTATTGCAAGAAAATAGAGGTTGCAGCAGCACATAAATATGCATCGCTGACGACGGTTTGCATTCATTACTACACATCCAATCATATACTAGTATATCTTAATTTTCAACTTATGTTTTTCTTAAATTTACCACCGAGGGCGTGATTTTGGCTCGTGCCGAGCGTTCAAGCAGCAAATCTCGGCACGTACCAAGCATCTATCGGGATTGAGATCAAGTTCTTTTCGGCACGTGCCGACTCGGTCCAGATCGTTCACACACAAGTTTTGGCACGTGCTGACTCGATCCCGAGTCTCGGCACGTGCCGAGATCTCTAACGTGAACGCCACTATTCACTTCTTTCCCTCCCTTCATAAACAAAAAAAAAGTATAAAATACATAACAAACTATATAAAACAACTTTTTTAAATTCGAATTTCAGTTTAAATCACCTTTGACCTTCTTCCTAAATTGTTTTGATTATCCAGTCCATAAACATTCTCAGAAATCTATTCAATAAAGATGACCTAATATTTATATTTCAATTTTTTCATTCTTTCCATATTCATGTAAAAATTTACAAACTGTCATCATTTTAACATTTAAGATGCTATTTAAACATGCTCAATAACACTGACTTGCTCATTCGTATTATCGCTTTAACTTTGATATTATAGCTTTTTATTTTTGCAGTCTTGATTATATTATTCTTTTTCAATTGTGAGTTTTCCATTGTATTTCATATGTTAATTGTTCTAATTAATTGCATTTGCAGGGCACGCTAGCAACGGCCATAACGCAACCATTTGATGTAATAAAAACTAGACTAATGAATGCAAAGCCTGGTGAATTCAGGGTGAGTATTATTGGTAGGCAGAGTTAATGTACAAAAGTGTCAGCATTATAGTTATCTATATTTCATAAATTTGTTTATTATAAATCTATTTTTTGAGAAAACTGCTATATAATGGCATTTTTTCATAGAGACCACAAAGAAAACATTTGTTATCATGACAACATACATGTATGTTGCTGAAAAAGACATATGAACATTTCAGCATACACCTTTTTTTTTTAATTTGTATGAAACATGCACGTTTTGGCCATTCTGTGTAATTTTTGAACGTCTGTTATCAGTTAACTCATCATCGTCTACTTAGGCATGTATCTAATGAATGCTTTTCGGTTTCATTTAGTGTACGAACCTTAGAGACTGAACTCAACTAAATCCTGACAGTTACAATTTAACCAAGTCTTCCATTCAGTTCTCTGTTAACATAAACTACTATATTGTTTTCTCTTACAGAGCATTGGACATTGCATTATGGTCACAGCGAAACTTGGGCCGATGGCTTTCTACAAAGGATTCGTACCAGCATTTGTACGACTGGCACCTCACACAATCCTGACATTTATGTTCTATGAACAGCTTAGAAAGAACTTCGGTTACATCCCCATAGTTCAGAAAAAAGAAATTGTAGTGGAAAAAGAAGAAACTATACCGGTAGTCGAGAAAAAAGAAACTGATTAAAATTGACCACAAGAAAATTGGAATTTTTTAATAGTAATAATTAATTGCTGTTTTTTTATTTTAGTATCGCAAAAAAATAGAATATTTACGCATGTTTGATATGTTTAAAAAGAAAGCTTATTTTAGTATTTGTTTGAGTAGTAAAGATTCCCCATCACAGCAAGGACTTTTTTTTAAAGCTGTGTTATTGTCCTTCAGTACTAAGTGCTACTTTCCGAGGTGGGAAAAAATTTCATATTTTATAAACTGTGTCTTTTCATTAGGCAAATGTCATCTCTTCACTTAAGATTCAATCGCTTCCCCATAAAAGAAAGATTACAAGTTTGATTTTTGCATGCAGTAATTACCCCCTCCTCTTATAATTGCTGTGTGTATGTTTTGATTATCCATCATCCCTCACTAATTTAAATACTGTTATAAATTATAGATTTTGGTGAAACCAAGATAAATAAGCTAAAATTGCATTTCACTAAATTTACTGTAAACTTTATTTTTATTCATAAGATGCATTTTTTTGTCAAATTTTGTAGCACTGAAAACTTTATTGCGATTCTTCTAAAAAATGTTGGCAAAATAACACTTTGTGAAATAACAGCAAAACTTAAGTAAGCAGTTTACAGTACTTTTAAGTGTTTTGCAGTGAGCATGTTGAGGGGGTACTTCAATTGAGCTACATTGAAAGGTACTAACTTACAGAAATAGATTATGCAGGGTTTTGTATTATTGTCACTTTAAAGTGTGGATTTCAATTGTCTAGCTTATTATCATATGGCAGATGTAAAAAGTTTATTTTTAATGTTGATTAGACATTTCACTGGCAATTGTAATTATCCATTGTACAGGAGAGGCAAAATAAGATGTAGTATTTTTATGGAAAGCTTTCCTTTGTTAGATGTGCTATATTATCTATACACTATTTTAGTGGATGACCAAATTTCAACTGAAAAGGGGATCTGTTGAATGAACAGTGCCCTCAGTGGCATAACTGACTCATTTTTTTTTTGTTTTTATCTATTCGGGAAACACACAAGACATAAGTGGGTGGGTAAAAGCTTTGGCCATTTTGGGCTGGGTGTAACATTTTTTTTTGTCTATACCTAAAATGTCTTTTTCCCTTCTGTAATTTTGAGGTTGTGTGCAAGAGGCTGAAGTGACGAAACCTAAATTGTTACATGTGGTTTTCCATTACATCATGCAGTCACCGAATTAGTCGTCATATTGTAATTTGGTTTTCATAGTACACCACTTTTTTAAAAAAAAACTGAAATAATATGTAGGCTCTGAAACATATTCACATAGATTTAATTTAGCCTATTTTACTTATCAGCGAAAATAGCAAAATTAAATCCCAGTGAATAATTAATGCATTTTCAGTAACTCAGAATAGAATGAGTAATTCAATTGATAGAGGGCGATATACAACTAGAATTAAAGAAATGTGCTTTTTAACTATTTATTACAGACAAGTTTTAATATTGATACTGTCAACAAATTGTGTGCAAAATAGTTATTTTTTGTGTGTGTGTCAATATTTATGGTGTATGATAACTTTACACTGTACAATAAATATTTTGTTCTTAGTAATGGTCTAGTCATTTCCTTCTATAAATGATTCATTTTTTTAGCTCGACACAGCGAAGCTGTTCATATTACTGATTATCCGTCGTTGGCGGCGGCATCAACTTTACAATTTCAACTTCTTCTTCAAAACCGCAAGTCAGAATGTTTTCAAATTTGATATGCAAGTACCTTCAATGGTTCTTTCTCAGATTTATTCATTTCATGTCAAAATCTTAAATTCTCTATTTTTGGTGAATATTTTTGTCATTTTTGGTAAAAAGTGATATTTTCAACTTCTTGTAAAAAACCGCAAGTCCAATTGCTTTTATATTACATATATAGGTACTACATGTGGACCTCTTTCAAATTTGTTAATTGCGTGGTGATATCTTCAATTATCTAATTTTGATGATTATTTTTGTCATTTTTGGTGAAAAGTGATATTTTTGAATTCTTGTTGAAAACAGCAAGTCCTGTTGCTTTGATACTATACATATTGTTCATTTTCCAATGATATCTTTTGTTCTTTAATTGAAATGTGCATTGCTATCAGCGGAGCTATCTCAGCCAATAGGCTGCTTGTTTTAAATTATAGTGCGAAAATATGAACATCTGTTTTTATGTATGTGCATCAGTTTAGTCTATTTCAGACGCGTACAATGACAGATTTCTTTATATCAGTAATATATTATGTTACAGTAATTTTGTTTTCAATTCGATCAAATATGGCCGCCTGGTGCCCTTTTTGTTGGACAAAATGTCTAAATGCTAATCTTTTGTATGATCAATCAATCTTACTTGGATTGAAATAAAAAATATTTGTACCACATCATTTGTAAAGGTCCAAATACGCATACAATACAACTAAGAAGTAAAAAAAATGTGAATATATAATGACAATATTATATTAAACAACTGTATAGACATACTCTGTGTGAAATGTTTAAAACATGCATGATTATGGTAATGTATATTTACTTTTAAAACAGTTTGCAACAGGTACAATGAGAAAAGTCAAACGCAATGAAATCGCACAAACTCTATATAACATAACAAATGTTCTGTTCCCACTGGTGAACTCATTCTGGATCGAGATAGATTTGAAACCTTGGCAAATGCCGGAATCTGTGTGGGAAAGGTAGGAGCAGAGTCAGCATAAGCCCAGTTTTTTCTGCATCTCTTGTTGGATAATCTTATTAAATTCAACTAATTTAGAAAGTCCTACTCAACTTCAGTTGGCAGTGAATCCAGCACAAATAGTATATTGACCGGACATTATCACACACCCAGAATGTTTTGGGTGGATATTCAATTTTTGATTCTTCATCAAGTACATTCCAGTACATCAAATAAGAGACATGTGAAATGTGAAACACAAGTATAATGCTATTGTGGTATAATGCACTGATTTTCTTGCCAGAGAACCAAGGCATTGGCAAACAAATCATGTTACGTGGGTGAGAAAGACCAGAGTTGCATGTTAAGTACGTAAGCTTCTTCATGTGCATAACAAGCAGGAAAAAACACAAATTCTAAAAATTTACAGATTTTAGCATTTTCCGACCAGTTTGCACTACCAAATCAGTGTTAGGTGTGGTTTAGATTTTCCTAAATTTTACTTGTTGGTAGCTAACCAGCAGAGGTAGTGGTGACCCAACTAAAGAAAACGAAAAAAAATGTCAACAAAAATAAAATAAAGGTAAGGTAGTATTGGTCGCAAACTTCATGCGCTACCAAACTGTAGCTACATCGCTGTGAGATCATATTGATCATTTACCCAGTAC